CTGATATTAGGATTGCAACTCCCACCTGTTTATGGGGGCCATTTGCTTGGTAGATTTTGTTCCAGCCTTTAACATTGAAAACATGTTTGTTTTTACGGGCAAGATGTGACTCCTGAAGGCAGATGGTAGAAGGATCTTGCTTTTTATTCCAACTAGGCAGTCTATGTCACTTAATTGGAGAGTTAAGTCCATTAATGCTGAGATATAGGACTGAGAGGTATTTGGGAATTCCTGCCATTTAATCCACCTTCTTGGGGGTTGCAACTACAGGGTTTTTCCTATTGTTCTTGGATTCTCGGTTTGGGTGCATTTTCTTGGCCTTTATTGTGGTCTTGTTGGTTTTCTATGTATAGGACAACTTTAAGAAACTTTTGTAGGGCTGATTTGGTGGAGATATATTGTGTCAATTTTCCTTTGCTATTGAAGGTTTTTATTTGGCCTTCAGTTATGAAGGAGAGTTTAGCTGGGTACAGTATTCTTGGTTGATAGTTGTTTGTCTTTAGGGCATGGCATACATCATTCCAGGCTCTTCTTGCTTTGATTGTCTCTGCTGAGAAATCTGAGGTGATTCTAATTGGTTTCCCTTTATAGATGATTAATCTTTTCTCCTTGACAGCTTTAAGGATCTTTTCCTTGGTCTGAATTGATCCTGTGTGGATTATAATGTGACAGTGGGATATCCTATTCTGGTGTGGTCTATTTTGATTTCTAAAAGCTTCTTGTATTTGAATAGGCCTATCTTTTTGTATGTTTGGGAAGTTCTCTGCTAGGATCCTGTTCAACAAATTTCCTAGACCATTAAATTCTGTTTCTAGGTGCTCCTCTACACCCATTATCCTCAGTTTAGGCCTTCTGATGGTGTCTTCCAAGTGTTGAATAGATCTTTCATATTTCTTGGAATTGTCTTGGATGATTGTAATATCTAGGCTGTCTTCAATCCTCGAGATTCGATCTTCTGCATGGTCTAACCTGCTGTCAAGACTTACTACTTTGTTCGTTATTTCTTTTCCTTCTAATTGGTCAATTTGATGGCTTCAAATTCTTTATTGAATCTTTGTTTAACATCTTGTATGGACTTCTTTATTTCCTTAATTTGGTGTTCAGTGTTTATTCTCAAATCACTTAGTTGATTGGTTATGGTTTCCTTGGACTCCCATTCCTTCTGTTGAGTTCCATTCAGCATTCACTTTGTGGTTTCCCTGACTCTCTTTATCTCTCTGTTAATAGATCCCATGAATGCCTTTAGTGATCATTGTATATTCTCATCCTGCTCTCTCAATTCCTGTATTACTCTTTGCTTAGCTTCCTCACATTCAAGCCATTCCTGTAGTTCTCTTTGAGTGCTCTCAGCCTGCTCACACCATTCCTCCCTTTCTCTTTGAATCTCAAGCTGCCTACGCAATTTTTGTATCCGTTTTTGAGTAAGTTCCTCATTGTTCATCATATTCCTGTATTATCCTTTGGTTTGCTTCCTCTCTCTCCCTATCACACTCATACAGTGTCTTTTGTAGGTTTTCAAACATTTCTGTATTGACCTTTGGTTTGCCTCTTCTCTCTCCCTATCATGCTCATACAGGGTCCTTTGTATATTTTCAATTTATTCATTTACCATGTTTACAAGCAGTGTTTGTAGAGCTATTTGGGAACTCACCTCTGGATTATTCATTATCTGTTCTGTCCCCTGATTATCATGAGTGGGAGTTGAGATACCCGGACTTGGCAGTTTTCTTGTGTTTTCCAACTTACTCTGCCCATTTGGGATGAAGGTAACAACAGTCTTGTGCTAGAACACTATCTTAAGGCAAGCATCAACCAAAGTCTGTAGTTGCACAGTCAAAAATCTGCAGATAGAATCTAGTTCAACAGATATATCTATTCAACATCAAACAACTATATATTAATGGGCTACAAACTGCAAAGAATTTGGCAAACCAGAAATTATTATGTTTAGGGAGAGATGTGGGTAAAAATAGGAATAGATATTGGAATAGATATTGGAAAGCTCAGGGAGGGTTAAGTCCTAATCTCAAAGCGGGAAATAGGTTGAATAGGTTGAAAGTAGAAAGAGAAAAAAAGAAGAAAGAGAAAGAGATAAAAAAGAGACAAGAAAAATAGAAAAGAAAAAATTACAAAGTGCAATGGTTAAAAATTATGCAAAATTGAAAACGAAATATTCAGAGAAGATCATGTATATAATAAGTGAAGGGGAGGAATATAAATGATATGTGGAAAATTAAAAAATAAAAATGCATAAAATATTATATAGATATAAAGAGGTATTACTGCTATTAAAGAATTTAAGTCTAATAGGTTTTGAATTGAGAAAATTTTTCTGGATTAAGTGTTTACACATTGGAGGATAAGGTCTAATAATCGACTATGGGTATATCTGAGGATGTGCAAAACAGCAATTAAGTCACACAAAGAAGAACGAAAGAGAAGAAAAGGTGAATAGAATGAGAAAGAAAGAAAAAAGATCAGCAGTTCAGTAGAGCTAAACAAAAAAATTTTAACAAGAAAAAAAAGAAAAATGCACACACACATATACCCTAAAATAAAAATTATAAGAAGAAGAAAGAAAAAAAGTTACTAGAAAACAAATATTTTTAAAAATTAAAAATTAAAAAAAAGTTTTTGAGACAGAAAACAATTTTTTTATAAAAGGTACAAAAAAATTTCTTTGAATTTTTTGGTAGGGGTGGGAAGATCCTGTATCTCCCTTATGTCTGTAACCAGCCTCTTGTTGGAATCTCTGGTATGCTTGTGTTTTTTTATTTTCCTGTGGCTTGGTTGGTTTCTTAAGTCAGTTTGTTTGAGCAGGCAGAAATATGCTCTGTTTTACCCAGGATTTTTTGATCCTTCTCCCAGGCTAGTTCAATGGGAGAGAGATCTTCTTTGAGTATCTCAAAAAAGGGAGATGGTTGTTTCCTCAAGTCTGGAGATGCTGTGATGAGGCTAGGTTCTAGGTAGACTTGAGGCCTTTCAGCAAACAGTAGCTTTTCCCTGTGCTAGATTGTGAGAGACTCACAGAGCCCAGCCTCGAGCCATTCTCAGGGTGTCTTTTTACTGAATTTCAATTGATTGTCAAGGCTGCTAAAGGGAGGAGCATCCCCTGGCTCTGTTAATCCAGTGAAGAAAGCCACTCCTGTGGCTAGTAGCCGGAGCTGGGTGACTTTTTCCTGGGTGGAGCTGAGTCTGGCAGGTCAGTTTGGTTCTTGTGACCTGCCAAATGACTTTAGTTTTCTTCCAAGGCCTGAGTTGGAGCTAATAGCTCAGCCGGGCCTTCAAAAGTGGAGATCTCTGGTAGTGCATGGGGGGGGGAGGAGGTGGCCTTCCTTCCTCTGCTTCCTAAGAAGGAGTGGGGGAATCTGGCTTCTACTCAAGTTGAAACTTGGTTCCTGGGTCATCTCTGGTCTGCAAACTGCAGGATGAAGATGTCTGCTCCTTGTTGGTTCTTGCTGGTGTTAAGTAGAATCTGCTTGCTAGCCGCGTCTGGCTCCTTCGTCCCGGACTCTGTTGCTCATATGGTGGCTTTGGCCACTGCCACCTCCACCGCGGTGGCTGCTGGCAAGTGCTCAGATCTGTCTCCTTGCTTGGATTTTCCCTCTCTGGCCTAACTCTCTGTACTGTGATGGTACACTTGATGTGATTCTGTCTTAGGATTGTTCACTGGAACACTAAAACTGCATTCTATGCAAGAAATTATTTAGCCTCCAGCTTCTCCACCATCTTACCAGAAATCCTTATTTATCTATCTTCAAATATACCCTGGATGGTGTCTCTGATCTTCATTTTTGCTCAAAGCTAGCACTCTGTACCTTTGACATCATCTCAACTTTTGGATTTTTGTTAGTAAGCTGTAGATAAGAGTCTCATAGCTTTTCCTGCTCAGGCTGGCTTTGAACCTTGATCTTCAGATCTCAACTTCCTGATTAGCTAGGATTGCATGTATGAGTCACCTGTGCACAGCAGGAAATAAAATCTTAAAGCAAGTAATTTATTTTCTATTTTTATATGTTGTATTGTTTTACATCTTGCTTATTTTATTCAGGAAGTTCTTTCAATTGTTTGTTCCTTTGTAAGTTCTTGAACAACTTGTTATGTTTCATACAAATTTCAGCTTTTATACTCCCAAGACTTAATGAAGTTTTATTTTATTATTTTTATGATTTCAGATGGGAGACCAAATTTAGAATCAAATTTAAGTGAATTCTAATGCCATCGTTTAGTGGGAATATTTCTGAGAATGTGGGAAATAGTGAGGATCCTGGGCTGTGAGCTATCTCAAACGATCATTATGGTCATTACCTTTGTTGTAGAAGTGAAAATCCCTGTTCCTTCTCTGATTTCTTGCAGAGTTGCAACATTAGGGTTTGTTCATTTCTTGACATAAAAAGGCGGCATCTGCACAGAGTTGAGACCTGGAGAATCCCCCAGAGTGGTTGCTGGGTCAGGTGAGAGCATCAGCAGCTCACACTGGCTTTTTCCACAGTCTGTAGAATCCCAGGTTTATGTACCCAAAACCCTAGGAGAGCTTCACAGAAGATTTTAGCACTCCTAGTTCCACTTCTCTATTTACCTAGGAGTTCAGAAGCTAATGATTAGACTCATTTCCTGTATTAAAACAAGTCCTGCTTGGAGAATTTTGACTAGATTGTGTTTTACTATATGAATCACAAAGGATGCCCTTATCTGAGAAGAGACATGGCCATGTCTGTGCTTATGGGACAGAAGAGGAGAAATGAGACAGAGATACAGAGCAGCCTTTGCAGAAAGTTGAATGATAAGCTTGCAAAAGTCATCAGAGCTAGGCTGCATGTGAGAAGCACTGTCAATAGGTAAAGGCACCAGAAAGTGCAGCTGGGGCAGCCCTGCCTCTCACTTCTGCTTCCCTTGGAGGTTTATGTTATGGGTTGTATCACTGTGTATGGTGTACTATCACACTTCTGACAGTAATAAGTGGCAAAATCTTCAGGTTGAAGGCTGCTGATGGTGAGAGAATAATCTGTCCCAGATCCACTGCCACTGAACCTGGATGGGACTCCAGAGGCCAACCTTGAAGTGTAATAGATCAGAGGCTTTGGAGCTTTCCCTGGTTTCTGCTGATACCAGTTTAAATAATTGCTAATACCCTGACAAGCTTTGCAGGAGATGGTGACAGTGTCTCCTGGAGATGCAGACAGGGAGGAGGGAGACTGGGTCATCTGGATGTCACATCTGGCACCTTGCATTTGAAACATAAAAGCAGATAAACAAAGTTATTCATGTTACTACAGGACTTCCCTGAAGCCAAGTCAGCACATGCCATAATGGATAGAGGAATGTTATCCTTCCTTACCTAGAAGCCAGAGCAGGAGGAGCCCCAGGAGCTGAGCAGGAGCCCTCATGTCCATGCTGTGTGCTGACTGGGACTGAGTGCTGCACAGGGTATGAACAGCCTATATGAAGTCATTGTGACAGTGGGATGTGATTTTGGCATATGCAAAATGATGGAAACAGCAGCAAGACTAGCCCATCTCAGGAAATCATCACAAGTATATGATGCCCAAGTATCTTAGTTTAGAACAGAGAATGTGATTTACCTACACATCACAAGTCATGATCAATCCTCTGTCCTATGAATATGTCTGTTGGTGCCTTCAGGGTGAGTACCTGGTTTACTTGAGTGTCTTAATTTCAATTCTATGTAACAACATGAAAGAGAGTATTAAAGAAAAAAAATGAGTGTTTCATGGTCAGGATATCAAAATACCTGTGAACATAATACAAAATAGAGTTTTAATTTAAACTATTCTAATTTCTCTATACATCTCAACATGTGACTGACAGAGCAGAAAACATAAGCAGCTGTATTTTCCAGGAACTAGTGCTTCAGTCTATTCCAAAATGCACATATAAACACAAGATAAAATATGATCACAGGCTAACACCTATAATCCTAGCTGCTCAGGAGGCCGAGATCTGAGGATCATAGTTCAAAGTCAGCCGAGACAGGAAAGTCTGTGAGAGTAATCTCCAATAAACCACCCAAAAACCCAGAAATGGTGCTGTGGTTCATGTGATAGTGTGATAGCCTTGAGCTGAAAAGCTGAAGGACATCACCTAGACCAAGAGTTCCAGCCCGACAATAAAAAAAGGCTTCTCCTTTAGTAGATATATGACTGAGTCAAGTTCTTCCTTATTTATGTTACTTTACTTCATAAGATAGAAAATTATTGAAAGCAAGTATAGTACTGGTTCAAGTATGCCATGTCCTGAGGTTTGATGGCTCGAGGGCAGGAGCCACAGCTTGTTGCTACCAGAAAAGACCAAAGTTACTTCATTATTTGTGACTTGTCACAATGACCATGTCTTTTTTTTTCACTGTGGGGTTTGAACTGAGGGCCTGGGCCTTGTCCCTGAGATTTTCTGCTCAAGGCTTAAGTGCTCTACCACCCTGAACTAGAACTGCACTTCTGATTGTCAGGTAGTTAATTGGAAATAATTTTTTCATCGACTTTCTTGTCTCAGCTGGCTTCAAATTGTGATCCTCATATCCCAGACTGCTGAGTATTAGGATTACTGGCATAAACTACCAGTGCTCAGCTTCATTATGGATTTTTAGTGTCTCACTTTCTCAAATGCCATACTGTGTTAATGTCTCATGTTCTCAAAAGGGCTGTAATACATCCATAGTTCAAGTACCAGTTTATTATTCGAGATCAAATTCAAGGTAAATCACGTTTAAACTCCATCCCATTAAGTACCTGTTCATTAGTCCTCTTACATCTGTTTCTTATCACATGTGCCCAAATTTCTTTTACTGCCTGGAGATGAGAGGGGCTCACCTCTACTTTCTATACCTGCAGATCAGAACTAGTACCCTAAAGTAGCAAAGGAGAAATAGGATAGCTGCTGTGAAGGTTGAATAGCATTGTGAATAATTTTAAATATCTCTTTGTTTCTGCATTAGTCTAGGTGTGAGAGGGAGCCACAGATATGTTTGGGAAGTAACTGAATTAGTTGGTGTAATCTAGGTATTCAGGATGACACTATGGCAACTTCTGATTATTTAAATGGGATTGCTAGATTTGGCACCTCAAAAATGAGGTCTGTTAATTTTCAGACCAATGACTTTCAGCCATTGGAATTTGTAATCGGGTTGAAACAAGACTAAGGGCAGGGGGACAAAGCCCCAGGTACTGTGTTCTGATCTCCTCCCAGGGAGGATGCAGGTACTGTATTCAAGAAAGGATCAGAACTCTGGGAAATCTATGTGGCCTGCGGATTCAGATCCAGTGAATGTATGTCTAACTTTTGTCCAGCCTTTCCTCTGGGTGTTTGAAGAACTTATCTCAAGACCTGATTCTTTTCTAATATCTTAATGACCTTATACATTCTCAAGAGTCTTCTAGAGTTTCTTTGCAATCCCAGTGATATTTGTAAACATTTATTGACTGTACAGTTAATCAAGAAATTAAGACTGCAGTAGAAAGTTCTCTTTTAAGTCATTGTTCTATCTAGATCTCAACTTATATCTATTTACAATCTCTGGGGCTCAGAGTGGTGCCTGGTTGATGATCATGGAGGAAAGGGAAATCTTGAACCCCTCCTAACCCAAGTCCATCCTGGATTTTAAATTTCAGTGAATATTTGTGAAAAGATCCACACTCCTTCTTCCATATTATGAGAATACATAATCTGAATGTGAAAGTGCATTGCCAGCCCAGTTAAGGTACAAGCATGCTACCTGTCTGAAAAATAAAAATGAATGAGGAAGGGCTCATGTGGTAGAACACTTGTATAGGTGTCAGGAAGCATTGACAAAATAAATACAGTCTCCACTTTGTCACTCAATGTATTAAACATACACATCCTGTTTTTGTAAGAATCAATATAGTTTAAAATGGCTTTGTTGTCTGCTTTCTTTCTGAATTTGCATTGAAAGCATATTGATTAAAAGAATATTGACAGAAAATAAACCACATTTCATAAGCTTTACACTTATATGAATTGTACCTTAAAAATTCTAAAACCTATTATAGGTTATTGAGGACTGTAATGAGATTTTTCCTCACAAGAGTCCCTGCCTTTGATTCTGCTAGATTGAGCCATGAAGCATGGGGGTGGGGGGAGGAGGCAGAGGGTATCAGTTTAGTCCTCTCAACTTCTGAAGTACTCTGAACCCAAGTTCAACACTGCTGATGTGGTACTGGTCCAGGTTCGTCCCCCCTCTTGGTCTTTGGCTCTGTGAAGATACCAATGGAAGTCCATTGTGTCAGACCTCATCTTTATCTTTTTTTTTGTAAGAGACGATTATTAATTACAAACAAATGGAACTGAGAATTTTGAGGCCTCTTAATTCCAACTTTTACATTCATAATTCTGAGCACACACTTGGGAGCTTGCATGAACTTCTTGAAACACTAAATGCTCATTTTCTGATATTATCTCATTTCTTCCTTGTCTTTGAGATCATCTTGCTCTTGAATTTTTATGTTTCTTCTGAGAAAAGGTAGTAGATACCTTTTCTAACAAATGGAAATTAAGTTGAAGAGGACGGACTTGCCAATAGAATTGGAGCTTCAAATCTAGGCTGGCTTGAATGAGGCAGGGGTTAAGACATTTATAATGTTTGAAGGACAGACTATAGAAATAGTTTTCCTAATCCTCAAAGAAACAACTGCCCAATAAATAAGTGGACTAAAGACTTAAAGAGAAATTTCTCTGAAGAAGAAAGAAGGATGGCCAATAGACACATGAAGAAATGCTCAACATCTCTCGCCATAAAAGAAATGCAAATCAAAACAACATTCAGACACCACCCCACTCCAGTTAGAATGGCAAAAATCAAGAACTCTAACAACAACAGATGCTGGAGGGGATGGGGACAGAAGGGAACCTAACTTCATTGTTGGTGGGAATGTAAACTTGTTCATCCACTTTGGAATGCAGTATGGAGGTTCCTCAAAAGACTTCACATATGACTCAGCAATCCCACTTTTGGGCATTTACCAAAATGTTTACAAACAAGACCACACTAAAGGTACCAGCACCACTATGTTTATTGCAGCATTATTTACCATAGCTAAGATATGGAACCAAACCAATTGCCCATCAGTAGATGAATGGATCAAGAAAATGTGGTATATATAAACAATGGAATTCTATGCCTCCATCAGAAAGAATGACATTGCCCCATTTGTTAGGAAATGGAAAAACTTGAAAAAATTATATTAAGTGAAGTAAGCCAAGACCAAAGAAACATAGGTCCCATGGTTTCCCTAATTTGCAATTTCTAGTATATGTATGAGTCAAGCAGAAAAGTTTAGATAATGTGATGTCAGGAAAATGAACCCTTAGATATGTATTTTAATGTTTTTTTTCTTTCATGCATGTGTTTCTAATGCATTTATAAGATTATTTCTTTGTTGCTTTGTATGTCCCTCCCCCACATTATAACCCCTGCTTTAACTATATTTGATGTCAGTATAACTTGTGGAGGAGATGGGGAAAGACCAGTTGTTTAAGGATACAGGTGGACCTGTTGCAACAATGAGAAGTACAAGTTGTCATGTCAACAAGGAGCTTTAGAACCTTGGTGCACGGGGGGAGGGGAGGAGTAATGGGTTGGGGTGGGGGGAGGCTGGGAAGGGAAGTGAAGTATAAACAAATTAGGAGGCTACAATGCTTGATAAGAAATGTACGCATTATCCTGCCCATATAATTGTAACCCCTCTGTACAGTATGTTCACAAAAAAAAAGAAATAGTTTGTCCGGTAAGCTGGATATTTTTGAAGTAACCAATAGAAATATCACTTAATACAGATGTGCTTGGAGTGGAAAGAAGACATTAGCTTGCAGAAGATCAGTGGCTAGCATAAATTGTGTTGTAGATACTTTAATACATAAATTCAGAAAACCTCAAAAAGGTCATTTTTATTTCAGCAGTTGTTTTAGTTTCTATGAAAAAACTGATTGAAAATAAGCTATTTTATAATTTAGTGAAGTGGAATGTCCAAAATAATTAATGGGCACTCCTCATATGTAACGATTTGTTTCAACTATTAAATCAGAGACACAGTGCCGTGGGTATTTTGCTGAAGCTAAGAAGAACAGAATGCTAGATTGAAAAGAATTCTTCCTTTAGAAACTGGCTGCATCAGAGAAGTACTGTCAACAGGTAGAGGAACTAGGAGAAGCAGCTGGGGCAGGCCAGCATCTCACTTCTGCTTTCCTGGGAGGGTTTTTTTTTTTTTAATCATGGCTTGTATCTCTGTGGGAGGGTAACTCATATGTTGTTGACAGTAATAAGTGGCAAAATTTTCAGGCTGAAGGCTGCTGATGATGAGAGAATAATCTGTCCCAGATCCACTGCCACTGAATCTGGATGGAACCCCAGAGGCCAAACTAGTTGCATAAGAAATCAGAAGCTTTGGAGCATTCCCTGGTTTCTGCTGATACCACGCTAAATAATTGCTATCCTGACTCCTTTACAGGAGATGGTGAATGTGTCTCCTGGAGATAAAGACAGGGAGGATGGAGACAGGGTCATCTGGATGTCACATCTGGCAACTGGCATGGGACACATAAAAGCAAATATCTACATTATTAGTCACGTTATTATAGGACTTCCCTGAAGCCACAGGCATCACTAACTACACAGGGTGAGAGAAGTATTATCCTTCCTTGCCTGGGAGGCAGAGCAGCAGAAGCCCCAGGAGCTGAGCATTGGTCCTCATGTCCATGCTGTGTGCTGACTGGGACTGACTGCTGAACAGGTGTGAGCAGCTTATTATGAAGTCATTGTGGCAATAGGATGTGATCTAGGCAAATGCAAATCAGCAGGGCTGGGCAAGATTGGATATAGATGCAAAGCTGACTCATCTCAGGAAATCATCATAGGTCCATGGTGCCCATGTGTCTTTGTTTTAGCCGAGGTAATATGATTCATTCAAACAGGACAAGTCAGAATCAGTCTGCTGTCCTATGGGTAGATCTGTTGGTGCCTGCAGGGATGAGGTCCTGCTTTTCCTGTGTGTCCTAATCTCAATTCTCTGTAATGACTCTAGAAAGGGATAAGATAAAGGCAAAATGAATGTTTTATATAGGTATATGGAGGAAGTGAAGAGAGAATAGAGTTTCTGGACATTTTAAACTGGTTTAATATCTTTATGGATTGGAACATTTTCCCTGCCATAGCAAGAGAGATATAAGCTGTTTTTATTTCTCAGTCTATTCCAACACACACATACTAATGTAAAATGAAATGTGGATTCTTACTGGGCCCCATTGGCTCACACCTGTAATCCTAGCTACTCAAGTGGCTGAGATCTGAGGATCATGGTTCATAGCTAGTCTGCGCAAGAAAGTCCATGAGAATCCTATCTCCAATTAACCACCAGAAAAATGGAAGTGGCACTGTGGCTCATGTACTAGAGCATAAGCCTTGAGATGAGGAATTCTGGGATAGCGCCTAGGCCCAGAGTTCAAACCCCTTGCCCATTCCCCTACCCCCATAAATGTGGATTCTCCTTAAGATCAGGTATAAGACTGAGGCAAACTTTCCCTTATTTGGCTTTACTATATAAATTAGAAAAACACTTAAAACAAGGGAAGCAATTATAACCACATGTTATCAATGTACATGCTATGTTTAACTATCTTACAATGACATACAATAATTTAAAAAAGCAAGGAGATTAATTTATCAAAAATCTGCTTCCTCCCATGGAACACTAATAATGAAGAAACATGTAGTCTCATGTGGAAGGTAGTCAGAACCAAATCAGTCAGTAAGAGAAAGGACATTGAGACAAGGTCTTTATATATCATGTTGTTTCTTTCACATTGGTCTGCCAGTGTTAAGAAATCTTCTCTGGGTCTTCATTATGTTTTACCCTTGCAAATAAACGGGATGATACCCAGGCTCTTCCTTTCTGTTTGTGAATATTAGCAATTTCAAAACTAGATCAGGTCAGACAAGTTATCTGTAATAGGTAGTGAGGAGAGCAAGGCAGAGCCCATCCTCTTAACCAGAAAAATTGCTTTGGGCCAGAGGCCTATGAGAGCTTTTTCTACCTGTGAAGAGTAAAAATTTCTACTGTCTCGAACTTCCACTGGCTGACTCTGGTGTTCCAGAGGTCTGCAGGTGAAGGGCCTGGAGAAATCACTGGCTAAATATATCAAGAGCCTATTGTTACAAGGTTGCCAGCCCTACTCCTAATGATCTTCACTGGATACTTGTGTATAAATCCTGCCACCTACTGGAATGAATGGTCAAAATGAGGACAGCATGTTTTGGTCTAAGTCAGAGCCCAAGAGAAATCTATGTGTAGATGGTTTATGAAAAGACAGCATTGGGATATGATAAATCATACAGGATTCTAAATATGAACAGAAAATGAGACCAAAAGAGTATAGTATTAGGAGAGAAACAATTGGGCAGAATGAATACATTCCTTTTCATATTTATATATATACATATATATATATATATATATATATATATATATATATGAACTCAATGATACAGAACAAAGATCCGGCTTTATTCTTTCAATTTTTGATGATTCTGTTTTCTTTACATATGGTGAATTCAAGTGTACATACTCAGGAGGGTTGAGGGAATACAGAATTGTATGGAATTGAATGTAAAAATGGTGAATAGGGCCAGAAATGGAGCTCACTGGACATGGATGGATGTGAACTATACAACTTTATATATTTCATAGGTGGAGACATGAGGTTGGGACTGGGAGTGAGGTAACAGAAGATATAGTACAAAATTATCTCATTATCCATTATCACTGTACTCATCTGATTCATATAATTATAATCCCTCTGTAATTCACCTTTATAATCACAATATAATAAATATTTTTTAAAAGATGAGTAGTACTTATAAACCTCAGGAAAAATGCAGAAAAACATAATGGAAAAACACAATTTGCCATTTTGAGGAGGAAATCAAGTTACCAATATATTAAAGATTTGACATAAGCATCATTTAAATAATTCTGAGAGATCAGGACATAGATGAACTCTTATAAAAATAAATTGCCATGAATTCAAAAAGAATAGACAACATTGGGAATAATGTCCACTGTGGGTGGTCATCGAATTAAGCAGGAATTCTTTACTTATTTTCATACACACGCAAAATACATATACAGAAAATAACATAGAGTCTATTAAGATATTATAGAATGCTGATTACAAGGTTTTAAAAAATTCAATCATGGAGTGAAAATTATGCTAACCACTGGCATTACATCCAGATAAATCCATTGTAGTTTGGATATACTATTTTTCAAAAATGCATATAATACAAGCTGGGCGACAGAGGCTTGCATTACAATGTCCTGAATGGCCTGTAGTGTTAGCTACACAGGAGGCTCAGATCTGAGGATCACGGTTCAAAGCCAGCCCGAGCAGGAAAGTATGTTTGAGACTCTTATCTCCAATAAACCACTCAGATAAGCCAAGTGGCACTGTGGCTCAAGTGATAGAGAGCTAGCCGTGAGCTGAACAGCTGAGGGAAAGCACCCAAGGCGAGTACAAGCCCAACAAATGACAAAAATTGCATCTATTACAAAAATCCTGCAGAAACATTTTAGGTATCTAAGCTACCTTACATGCTGCTCTGACTACTTCCATGATTCTTCTGTTGGGCAAATATATGTAACAAAAGGCCTATTTTTATAATCATTTTATATTTAATTGGAAACTGTGGTATGGTACCCTGATTGGTATCAGGTAGAATATTAGTACTATGTATCAATCACCCATGGAAACATAAGCATTGAAAATATGAATCTAGATTGCTACGGAGCACATACTGCTTTGGAGACAGCAGAAACAAAAAAAGAGTTACAATTATTGATCCATTGGAATGCAAACCAGTGTAAGTTGAAGATTACTGATGTATGCGATGTGTGGACCTACAAATTATTTAAAATTACAGTAAAACTTTTAAACCTAATATTTAGTGGTATAGATAATGAAGAAAAATTAGTGTCAGAAAAACTATACATTAAACAAAATTATTAGTTAGATTATTACATTTTCTACAAATGGAGAGGGATGAAAAGGTCTTGGAGCACCTACTAAAAGTCACAAAGATATAAAGTGAATGGACACAGGAGACATGTAGGGGATAAAACTTATAATTTTGAAATAACCTACTAGATATTAATGTCAGCTTCCTTTGAGTTTCTAAATGAGTAGGAACACCTGCCAGGGCATTTTGCCCACTGTTCTTCTCCTTGCCTATTAGCATTTGGGTAATAAGCAAAGATGGGGTAACTGCAGGACAGCTTGTATTTACCCTATATTACAGTCATGATGGAATATCAGAAGAAAATGCAATAAAAATAAAAAGAAGAATGTGAGAATTTCTGTTTCATTAGGCACAGGGAAAAGACAGTGTGTCAGGGCACTAACCCTATCTCCCCAAGGATCTCAAGTCTCAGCTTCCCTGGTTATGCTACAGTTACAAAGATGAGAAACATTCTGAATAGATAGGGAAGGGATCAGGTCACATAATAATGTTCATGGTGAGGCTTATTTTCAAATAATCTCTAGATAGATTGTTCTCTCCATCTTCCCTTGCCACTACATATTCTTCCGAGATTATGCAGGATCACAGCCACTGATGCAAACAATGACCATAGGAGAAATCAGGACCGAGCAGAGAGGACACAGCTGTGGCAGCAAAATCTCTGACTTATTTTCTATGAAGTTTGTGGTGGAGGCTGAAGTGCTGAGAGGGAAGTTTACCAAACTGTGGAGAGTAATAGTTGGTTATGTGAATCACAGGGAGACTGGTGATTGTCAGTGTGACATCTGTCCCAAATACTCTCTTTTGGACCCACCAGGGACCCAGATATCCAAGAAAATGGCTACCAGATGGGCACTGTAGTATCAGGATCTATTTTCTTCTGGTCCTAGGTTAAGCCATTCTTCTGGTTGGAGCTCTTTAAAAGACTGGCTTGATGTTCCTGGTGACCATCTTTCCTATACATACAGTCAAAAAGATTAGAGATAGAATAATTATCAATTCCTCAAAGACACTTTCCATCAGGAATAGAGAATGGACACACATTGCATCATTGGTCACATTAAAATGTATATGGGTAAGTGGTTTTCCAATGCAACAACCTTTAGACTAGTATAGATGATTGCTTTATTCTATACGACCCAAATCAAGTTTTAATTCTTGATGATATCACTCATCTAAACCTGCTGTTTAACCCCCCAGAAGCAGGATGAAGAGGAGTGTGTGTGGTGGCATTTTCTTGATGTCCTCACTCATCTGAATCATTCAGAAACTTTTTTTGGGAATCCTGTAAGCAGAGCTCTAAGCATCCAGCCATGGTCCAGTGGATCCTTTGAAAAATTTCAGCAAGGGTGAGAGCAAAAGTGTGTTAACAACAAGCAAGAGGATTTAAACTGATAAAAGATAAAATACCATATCTTAATAAGATTGATTATGAGTACTGAGAGTTCAGAATCAAAACTGTAATGATCTGTATTCTCCAGTTAAGTTTATACATACAAAATATGTTTATATTAAATCATTATAATTAGGCAATATCAACATAGAAAAGTAAATTACTAACAGAGTATGTAATTTTGAACATATAATTTCAAAACTTTATTAATATGCATACATATGATGTCAGAGCATGAAATATGTTCATGTCACTAGATAGAAGAAAGATATAGTGCATAATTAATTCCTCCAACCCAGACTCTTCTGAAGTGTGAATATATA